AGTGTTTGAATGTCTAGTGGATGAAAAAGAAGTGGACTCAAAATTTCCAAACAATGCACCAGGAAAAGTACGTGCATCCATGGTCAAAAGTCAAAGATATATATAGATCCCAGAATACTTTGCGAGAGCTCTCCTAGCAAAGCACCATTTGTTTTGGGGGAGAAAGAAAACAGATGGTACAGACACCATGCAAGGAGCTGGAGTCACCTGTACGAACAGTCAGCTTACTAACATGGCCTGTATTTATATAGCACATTTTTAAAGTCAGGAGACTTGACCAAAGCGCATTACACTCCATTCAGTCATTCACCCACACACTGATACATTTAGCCACAGCTGTACTGGGGCTCACTGATGGACGCAAGGCCGCTGTACACTGGCGCCACCAGACACTCTGACCACAATCAGTAGGAAATGCGGGTGAGGTGACTTGCCCAAGGACACAGTGACACTGAAAACCAGAGCTGAGGTTCGAACCGAAAACCCTCCTATACTGAACTACAAGGTCCAGTATATAGTCCTCACTCTACATAGTGGTTAAGGGCTTAAGGAAGACGTTCGGACACGACCAGCGGTGCTGGCTGAAGTTCAGGAAGTGTTGGAGTTGGGAATATAGCCCATTATTAGGTACAGAATGATGCTTTTGTTACCAAGAGCACTGGGGGACAGATCTATAGGCAGGAGTGGAGAAAGTAGCAGGCATATACATGTCACTATATCCAAGAAGCCTAACCATATAGAACCCAAGTTTCATGCTGATAAAGACACTCATTTCCTAATCACTAGATGCTCACCATCCACACAGTAAAATTTTGTGTTTTTACACTTAGAACCTGGGATGATATTGCTGTTGATGTGGGAAATCAGCCCCAAAAAAAAAAACGGTATTGATTTATATTGCACTGCATCTAAAACTTCCGATATAAGCACTCTGCTCAGCAGCACTTCTGTCCTGCACACAAAGCCATCATGATCCAAACAACACAACACTAACAGACTGGCTATGCTACTGGAGAAGGAGTGATATCAGAGGCATGGCTGTACTTTGGGTTGAAGTCCACAAAGGAAGTTGCACCTAAGTGTAAATCTTGTCATACACAAGTTTCCCTTTTTTATTATTTTATATTCTATTTAATTGTAGAGAATGTTTAGGTTTAATTAACTTATTGAATAATGATAAATGGGTCAGGTTTTTTTCATAATTACTTTTCTGACTATCGTTCTCAGTTTGAGTAATATTATTTCATCAAGCATTTTCTAAGATCCCAAACTACAAAATAAGTAATATATGCATGTATGATTCATGTTTATATTGGTGTGGGGAGAAGCAATATCATAAGAACTGAATTGTGAGGGGCTAACTTTAACATTCAGGGAGGTCTGCAGCAGCTAAAAGACTAACATGAAGGTAGAGCTAACCGAGTGAATTAAGCAATCTAAACTAAAATACAGGGAGGCCTAACAGTGAGCCATGGGGAACTCCTTTCAGTCCTTAAAAAGCTGAAACCATATAAACATCACACAGAGCTTTCTTAAACGTACCTTCCTTGCGCAATTTAGAAACAGATAAACATGAATAGTCCCAAACTTTCAACCACCAACTTAACTGGTTACATCTGATCAGGTAAGGAAAAGCAAAACAGAGGAAGTAAGCTAGAAGGCTGACCTGAGAACACCTCTTCTCCATCTATTTCCATGTGTTGGGGATCTTGGCTGGAAGCAGCTCCGATGTCTCCTTTCAACCCTCTAGAGACCTGTGAGGGGTGTTTGAGGCGCAGATGTCTTAGCATCGGCGTAGTGGAGCCGTGCTCCTTTTTATGGAGATAACGATTACAAAGCACACACTGCACCGAGCCTTCGTTTATGTCTCTAAAAAAGCTCCACACTACACTTCTCTTACGGTACGTATCTAGCTTTACCTTTTGGGGTCCCGTTCCACACGGTACCGGGGACCCGGGTTGGATTAAATATCTGACCGCAGTCTGCTCTTCGGGAGCTGCCATGCTATTTTAGCCAAACTGACTGCGTTCTTTTTTCTATCTCTTCCTGGTTCTCTTCTTTTTCTGTAGCTAATTATTGGAACACTATCGCCACCAGGTGGGCGGTGGTGAAACTGCAGAGTAAGCAGGAAAACCTCTGGTGCTATACAAGAAAAAAATATTTGACATATTCAAAACCAACCAGGGGCGTAGCCAACAAATCTTCACAAGGATTGCCAGGCAATAACCAATGTACACTGAGGGGTGGCTGAAAGTGGATAGGAGCCAGAACCTCAGGGTCACGCTACACTGTTCCAACAGGAAAATTAATGAGCACAAAATCCATATTTTCTACATAAAGACAAAATGTCCTTTCCCACAAGCCTTTGTTAAAAAATAGAACCATATATTTAAACATCTTCCTAGATAAAAGGTATAGTGGATATCCTTTCCGGTTTGAGCTTTTCCTTTGTTATTAGTTACTTTTATCAAGAATCATTCTGCTTATATTTACAAGTACCATACTAATATCTACATAAATTGATTATTTAATATGTATTTATTAAAATAGTTATCTGTGATTTCACTGAATACTTCTTTATGACCTACAGAGACAAATAATTTTCTCTTTACCCCTTTATAGCACAAAATCTAGTTCTGAAAAGAGCATGAATTTGCTGCGTATCATCTTTAATGTTAGTATATAGATGTGCATAATTAACTACAATGTTTTTGTTGTCAAGTAAATGAAATGTTTTGAATATTCCACTTGAGAGTATTTCTGCTGCCACTGTGTGTATTACAGGGAAAAATGGTAGGGGTGGCCACAAATTGGCTAAGGGCGGCAATGGCAAACCCTGGCACTCCATCTAGCTCCGCCCCTGAGACCAACAAAGCCCCATGTTATGTATTCTATGAATAGAGCATGACTATTTTGTATTTAATAAACAGTAATTAATCGTATTAAGTAGAGTGGAAAACTGAAACTGATGGAATGCAAATTTAAATTATGACTTCAGAGTAGCCTTTCAGGTGCAAGGCTATAAAAAATAGCTTTAAAAAAAAAAAAAAAAAACTCTTTTATAATGTTTTTGCTGTGTTAAGTGCACACATTTTTAGTGTTACAACTTAATGATAAGAATTAAAGGCTAAAACTTCAGAGTGGGACAAATAAAATGGTTAGTAACAGCATTAGTACAGGGAAATAATACAAACAAATTTTAAAAAGCAGATTAATAGAAACAGACAAGCCTATCACCTATTTACATTGAAAAAGCCTGATAATGACATTGTTTGTGTGTGTATAATAAAGTTTTTCTTTCTTAATTACATTTCGAGCAGTCTAAAAAATAGGGTTAAGACTGAACGTTGCCTGCAAATGAACATTTCTATTCCATAAAGTGCAGCAGTACAAATGTAAACAGTTTTGGAGAAAAAAGAAAAAAACACTTGAATGCAAAACACATTTACAATGCAGGAAAAAAAGGATGAGCATATATTAAAAGACATGCTGTCTTAACATAAGAAAAGTAATGATTAACATTCCATTAAACCTAAAGGAGTCTTTTAGCTGTTTTTATACTCATACATGTCAAGTCAATGCTCTTTCTAAATAGGTCAAATTCACATTCATTTACAAAGAATCTAATTTCAGGTGTTGTTGTGAATGCTACACATCCATACATTTCTATCTTTATCTACATGCAGTGCAGTGTGTTCCTCGTTGTGCAGAACAGTACAGTTAAAGCCATTTGATTGTGTACACAAAGTTGTTCAAAAAATAATAAACTAAAAAGCATTCACACCTTTTTTGTGCAAAATAATTACAATGTTAACTACATCTCAAGTTGCAAAGTACAAAGTGTGGCAAGTAGGGGGAAGTGATCCACACAGGTTGGTTTACTGAGAGGCAAGAGACAGTCCAGCTTACATTAATAGCTTTATTTAATACACAAATCACATTTATCCATACACATTTAAAAACATAGCTGGGCCAGGAGCTGTGGCCAACAGTGGAGCAGTGGAAATAAGGGGAGGGAAATCAAAATATAAGACACAACACCATAAAACAAAAAAATGCACCTCAAACTAAGAAGAAAACAACCATCCAGGGATCCACCACCACAAGTGTGACAATCAGCTCCTAGAAAGACAACACGTTAAAAACGTCGAGTGAACCATGCAAGATAAAAACCCCAGAAAAAAACAGAAAAAGACAATTGTTCATTCTGCCATTTTAATATGGTCTTTTGTTGGAAGCTGAACTGGGTGCAGTCAGAGTGACCAAGACTTTTTATAGGAAGCCAGCTAATGTAGGGAACCAATCAAAGCAAGACCTCAATTGGAGATCTGCCTCCATCTCTATACTGCCACACAAAGTTCACATTTTTTTAAGGGAGTATCGTTGATTACAGGAAGAACTGGTATGGTTGGATATCTGTTCTGGAGGAAGTTTTAAACAAAAACCCTCATGGTAATAGACCTAAAAAACAAAACAAAACAAAGATGCATATGATAAGAATCCCTCAATGTTCCAATGTTGTTATCAATGAAATTCAGATATTTTATTGGTGGTGTGTTGGTCCTGACTTATCTTACCTTCCATGTTTAAAGGACTGCCTCATTGTTGAATATTTAGGAAATGATTGTTAATCATTCTTAATAGGTTTCATGCTTTGTCCTATGAATCTATAACTAAGTAAAGACCATTTTTAAACTCCTACTGAACCAAGCCTTTCTTTTATATAGTTTATGTATTATTCTAAATAACAACCATGAAGAAAACAGTTTTTTAATAATTTTCAAGCAGAAAACCTACCAACACAAGAGTTAAAATATTCCCTAATCTCCTGTTTTCTTAACCCATCCTGAGTCTGGTCCCCATTTACAGTGATGCACATTTATTTCTCCTTAGATAACTTACTTACTTAACTTAGATAACTTTATTTTAATTACTGACTGATGGTATCAATATAGTAAGCATAATAAAAAAACAGAAGCAGAAAATTAGCTTTAAATAAAACAACTGCATTTATTAAAAAGAAAATATCTGTTACACAGATGAACAGTACAGTTTATCAACTTTGAAGCAGCAAATTAGTGCTCAAAATGCCATATGAGTTAAAACAAGACTGAATAAAAAAAACAAAAAAAAACAATAGATATATAAATATTACAGCATCAAACAGAAATTCACAGGTTGAAAAAAAACATCTACAATGTAATTAAATAAATACAAAAAGTCTCTTATAAATGTTAAAGTCACATTTGCAGCAAGCTGGGTGGTGCAGGCAATAAACTGTATAGTCAATAGGTGGCATTTTATCAGTGTAAAAGACAAAGAAAATTTGCTGATGGTGGAACAGATCAGCTGGAATGCGTTTAAGCAGTGATGGATCAGCCAGTAAGCAAAAGGATTTTCAAAGGAAATGCAACATAAACTAGAGCACTATTGAGAACATGAGATGCAACTAGTAGTATGTCTATGTCAGCTAATTTACAGATGAAATAACCCCATCTACTCTTTAACGCCTCTTGATTCACCAGCACTGAGGACGCCTTTTAAACTGGAGATTGGACTGTAACAAAAAATGTATTAAATCCTTGTGCCTTGAACTAGATTTAAAATGATTAAAGTCACTCTTGTTTTGCTTGTATTAAAAAAACAACAACAAATGTAAACAATATTCTATATCTTTAAATTTAGTTGTCAAATATCAACATATTAATATTCAAAGCTCTATTTAAAGGCTTCCTTGCAGCTAAGAGCAGGTAAACTGGTAAATATTAGTGTCCCACACCATCACTTAGTTTCAACATCTAAAAGGATCGAGGTGGAATGTCTCAGTTTTGACAAAATCTAAATAACTCACAAAGCATGTTTCATCCATGCAGCAATAATAACTATATGTAGTAAATTCCTCTTAAAAGAATGAAAGTGTGATGCATTAAACCAAATAGTTCTGGCACCACATCTACAGCCTGCTGCACAACAGAAGCTAAACTTAACAGATCATTTAAAGGTGACAATGCTACAAATTAAACATCCTATTCTCTACACAGCTTATTTTACTCAGTTCCTGGTATAATTGCCAAAGTGTAAAGTAACAGGAATAAACAAACAAGAACTGTTCTTTCTTGGTGTTTTTTGTTACCTTTACAAACCTGTAATGTCCTTATTTTGACCATTTTAAATTCAACAAAGGCAACGATAAGACCCAATAGTTATTCCTCAATGTTTTGAGTTTAGAACATAGCATTCTGCCAATAACATGCCATTACACTGAACACAGATAGCTACAGTTGGAAATCATAACAATACAAAGATTGCAGTTATTGAAAAAGTTGGTAATTTGATGGTTTGCTTATATATTTGTTTAGTTATCATCATGTTTGGAGGAACATTTCTTTTCACATCATTGGCTTTATGTTATTGCCTTAGGAACTTCCTGATGTTGTTTACAAATCGTTATCTTTTAGCGTCATTAAAAACAAAATGCTGAAAATGACAAAGGTATCGGCTATTGTGTGTTATAACATTACTAACTTGACCAACACAACCAGGTCCAAAATAGAGCAAAACTAAACGTAAACTGCACACAGTGACACTATTCAGACCTGACTTAGAGGTCATTTGAATTGGTCATGACAAAGCACTTTGCAAGTCAAACGACACCCTCGTTTTTATATTCAAACTAAGGTAAACTCTGCAGAATAAGAAATTGCCCCACATTTCAGTACATCCAAGATAAAGTAAAACAAACCACAATTTTAAGTTACAACACAGATTAACTATGAGAGCGAAGACATTGTGCTCAGTTGTTGATGCACATTAAATGCAGCACATATGTTTAAAACACACAGACAAATACCTAGTTGGTTGTATATAATGCTATATCTAACATAGGTGTCGATGCAAATTAAAACGATGGAAAAATACATTCGTTATTTCTCAGTTTTAAATAAGCCAGGTTAAGACAACATCTGCTGTGTCATTGGCACATCCTGGTCAAAAAGATTTGATGGAAATAGGTTATCAGTATTTGCACTGGTCAGAATCCAAATAATAAGGCTGTGGTTTACAATGCATCTTCCTGCAGGCGCCAACAGACAATGCAGCTGTGTTTGTTTAGGTGAAACATTAATCTGCAAAACCTGAGAGTAAGTTAACACATGGAAGGAAGTAGTCTAGTTTGATGTAAACGGTCAAAGCGGCTGAATTACAGCGAGACATTCAGATTCATGTTCTGTTACGCAGGTAGTTTTTGCACCAAGTCAGTTTTTGTTTCTTTGCAGCGCCTCACACAAGTTGTGGTTGGGATCTGGCTCCTGACTCATGATCTCCACACAGACCCATTCGCCGCTGCTGCTGGACCGTTTCACAGCCTCCACCACCGTCTGCACATACAGGCCATCCTCAAAGGTTGGCGCAGAGGCAATCGGTCCTCGGGCCCATGACCGTCGCTCTTCCTGAGCCTGAAAGGACTGTCTCAAGGCCTTCACCATAGAGCTAAGCCCCTGCAGGTGTGGGAGGGGCATCTCTTTCACCTCTGGTCCAACCCCGCTGCTGTCAGCCAATAGAAGCTCCTCATATTTACTCTCATTTCGATGACCAAACAACTCGGTGCCCCTGGCGACCAACCTTCCACCAGATCCAACTACCATAACCTCATGCACAAACGACCCCGGCATGTTGAAGTTCAGGGTCACAGTGCAGCATACGCCCGAGGACCCGCTTTCACCCATCAACATCTGGAAGAAACAAAAGTCATCGCTGGTGATGCGGCGGATGCCTCGGATTAGGCTGTTCTGTTGAACAAAAGTCCGCAGTAAACCATGCACACGGTGAGCTCTGGTGCCCGTGAGGTAACTTAGCAGGTCGATGATGGCGGATCCAACGATGTGCAGCCCGCCTCCACCCATCAGCTCCTCAGAGGTCCAACCGTAGGACTGGTCCAAGAGGCTCGGCCCATAGACCCGCACATCACACACCTGTATATTCCCGACGTATCCTTCCACCAACAGCTGACGCATCTCCACAAAGGCTGGCAGGAAGCGTAGGGTGTTACCCATCATGCTCAGCAGCTGGGGGTAGTATCTGGCTGCAGTCACCATCTTAAATGAATCGACAGCAGTTGCAGCTTTCTCACAAACTACATTCTTACCAATACCTGTAAGAACAGAGGGAAAAATAAAACATGCTGTTAGCAGTAAAAACATAAAACAGTACTAAATAAAAAAAATAAAAAAAACTGTAGGCTTTGCAAACATTTTAATCCTGCTGTGATCTTTGCCAAGCCTAGTGAAAATGTGGATTAAATGGAGCTCTTTAGCTGATCCAGACTCTTCTATAATATGGCATATAATGGATGTGATATTTATATGGAACTAATCTTCAGTAGACTGTGAATTCAGCCTTTGAACGTCTCCCTGTGTAGATAAGTCCTTCAGCAGGGAAGAGTCAGGAAGTTGCGACCAAAACAGGAAACTGATCTCAACACTGAGGAATTCCATCAGATAAATGCACTTTTAACTTCAACGCCCCTCTGGTATAATAATCTAAACTCTCACTTCTAAGAATTGCAAAAATGTCAGATCAAATAAACTAACAGGGTATTTTACTATTTCAGAGGGGACTCTACTTTCAGAGTCTCTTCTGCCACAACCATTAAGATTGCATCAATGGAAATAAGGTTTTCAGAACTAAAAGGTAACTTGAGAGTTAAGCAGCTTTTTTAATTTAGATTAACAAAACAAAAATATTTTATTTTTGAAGGCTTACCCAGTGCTTTGACTGCAATTTGTCTGGTCATTGAGGGAGGGATATAGATGCAGACCAGATCTACATCCTGGTGCAGGAGGACATCATCAGATCGACTAGTATGAAACGGGATGCCGAGTTCCTTTGCCAAGCAGCAAGCCTCCTCTTCACTCTGTCCCCAAAGCGCGTGAACCTCAAAGCCCTCAGCTTGCAACAGTGGAACCAGCACCCGGGCAGTGCTGCCGGTGCCAAAAACACCAACTCCTGGCAACATGGCCTTGCCACTTGGCATTACTTTACATGCAAACCACAGCCATCCATTCCAAAGTTGTCACCAGCAGATATCCTCTGTTTGCACTCTTAAAGGAAGTTACCTGGAAATTAAAAAAAAGACCTAATGAAGCTTAGTGACAGCAAACATTCCTGCGATCCAGCAGCATCAATCAACAACCAGTAGTTCATAAAGCCCTTATACCATGTCTTGACACATTCTTCATATGCCTTTCTTTTTTGCTCCACACCACCATGTCATCTTTCCCACCATCACACATGATTATTCTGTCTCAATGTAAATTACAATGTGGGAATTAATACACCAGTAATTTAAGTTAATCAGTTAACTCTAAGGAAGAGGTTGGACTAAAACAAATTGATAATTAGCAGGTAGCTGTTGTTTTTCTTGCTGATCCTATGCTGTTACCAAGACCTAAATGAAATACATTTTCCATTCACTCCCTTTGCAATTAAGGAGATAAACTTGTACAGCACACATCTAGCAATGATTTAACAGGAGAGGAGTACAGTTTTTTTTTTTTTTTTTTTGTATCAACCAATCAGTGTGTTCCTTAAGGATTTCAAGTACTTACAATAAAAAAACAGCTCATTTGACCATTTGATGTGAAAGCACATAATCAATTAAAAATGCCAAAGCCAGATATCCATTACAAACATGTACCGGTAAGAATATTTTGAGTGATTTGTTTTTCGTTTTGATGTGGACTATTTCCTATTATTGTTATAGGGAAAATAACAATTTTACACTTCAAACTACTGTTAAAAGACAATTCATTAACATTGACAAGTTCTTTTTTTTCTGATGTTTTACAAAACGTAACGAACCAGTTAGGAAATAAGCCTCATTTCTGCAGCCAGGTTCATGCAAGCTGATAACGAGCGGCTATTTATAGAAAACTTTATCGAAAAAGAGCCAATGACATTATGTCATTTAATCTGGATGTGTGCAAACACAGACAGGTGTGATCCTATCATCTCATGCGAACAAAGGGTGTGTGGGTGAGCAACCTGTGCACCTGCATTACCAGTGAAACCAGCCGTTAAAAAACAAAAAAACTCTTCCCAGCTCAGGAATTAGCAAGAGGGGAAAACAATCACTCATCACACTACCCATCAGGAGATCAAGTTCTACTTTTCTTTTCTTTTTTTTTTTTTTTTACAAACTATCAGTGTCCACAATTAGCTATTAGGTTCTAAAATATTGTAGAGTGTAGTATGAGTTTAAAACGAATTATAAATACAAATTTCAGGGTCATACGTGAAAGGAGTGTTTCATGAAAGCAAATAGGTATCCACAACAGAGAGACTATTGATAACCCTGTCAGCTAGCATGTACAGCTAGCAGCACAGATAGAGGCAGAGCGGACTCCAAACCCCGCCAAGAAATTTGCGACTATAGTATATCTATTGAGCTTTAGTTACATCACTTATTCTTAAAGACTAAATTCATAAGAAACATTTAAACCTAAAGATAACCTCCTGTACCTACCGGCGGGTCATCGTCCGCAGCAGCGATAGGTTGAAGCAGGGCGCTGCCCATTTGCTGTAATGGTAACTTCCTTAGCAACAGCTGGGCGGAACCGGAAATGCTACCAACGGAAGTTTTATTGTGGAAAAATACTAAAAAACGGATCTGCATACAAGACATACACAGCCACAGACAATATATACATACACACGTATATACACGTAGATATACGCATATAAATGTCTATGCATATAAATGTGGTTATGGAAGACCAACTCTGCCATATTTAAAAATAAATACAGAAATAAATAAATGCTCAATAAACAAATAAGCATACATTTAATTACCCCCAAAATACAATAAAAAAATAAATGTAGGTATAAATTAAATTATACAGTGAGACATAAGTTTATATATCTCTTTTAATTGGCTTATTTATTTATTCGTTTTGTAATAATTACCTTATTTATTTATTCTGCTTTATAATCTTCAACTTTATTTATTTATTACTTATTTTTCAAGTATTTATTCACCTTTGTAATATTTAACTTATCTATTTATTATCCGTTATAATCTTCAACTTTATTTATTTATTACTTATTTTTTAAGTATTTATTAATGTGCATGTTATAATATTTTTGTCTGTTTTATTCTTCGTTTGTATTTTTTAACCCCATTTATTTTTTCTCCCTGTTGTTTTTTTATTTCTGTATGTATGCATACAGAAATTTTTACCTACATTTATTTGTATATTGTATTTTTGGGGGCAATAAATGATATGCTCATTTATTTATTGAGCATTTATTTATTTATGTATTTATTTTTAAATATGGCAGAGTTGGTCCTCCAAACTTTAGCATTTTACTGCATAGGTCGAGTCTGCAGGAGGAGAGTGAGACCGACACACTCTTTCCTCATTTACATAATGAGGCAAAAATGCACGCAGAAATGTAAAAAGGACAGGCGGAAATAAATAGTGTTGAAAAAATAAAAAAGAAGAATAATACAGACAAAGATATTATATCATGCACATTAATAAAAACTTTAAAAAATATGTAATAAATAAATAAAGTTTAAGATTGTGTCCCTAAAGTTCACATGTTCTTTTAGATGGCTGTGCTGGACCATGAAAAATGATTCATCTTCAATGGTTCAGGAGGAGCGCCTTACACACAGTGCTACAGTTTTAACCCATGTCTTAAAGACATCTGTGTGTAATGATAATGATCCAGATGGAGTCTCCCTTTAGCTTTCATCTTAATGATGTCAGAATTTGTTGTAATAGATCTAAGGCAAAATAATATTCTTGTTGTTTTCTATCTCAATTTAAAAGAAACTGTTTAAATTAGGCTTACACATATATGATAAAGATTAAATGTGAACCTATCTGTATACCTTCCCTTAATTAGAAGAGCTACTTAAAGATTTCAAGTGAAATCTATCCTTGCAATATTTTTTTTACACTCAATGTCTAACATATTTTTAATACTGTTGCTTTTTGTCACTGAATCCTAAAAAAGATGGTATAAGTATTTTATTTTTAAGCTGTCATCCAACACCTTTCAAGATTTTTCTCTAATTACACTAATTCCCCCTCAAAAAAATATACAAATATGAATAATCCTGCTATTCTTTTTATTAACGACTCAATTGTGAAACAAGGCATATTTCACGTTACAGAATTGAGTATAAATTTACTGGTATGACTGAGTAGAGTACGTATAACAGATTAACAATGAAAAACAGACAAAAAAAATGGCACTACATTTACAAGACAATTTTCATATCCAAAATTTTTATATTTTGCAATGCTACTTGTTTAATACTTCTTTAAATGACCGGAAATTAAGGAATGGCTTCAACTTATGTCAGAGAGAACAGTTTTTGAAGTCTTGATTTCAAGGGTGCAGAAGGAGCCGAGAAAAGCTAGCCAAGCATGGGTGCATTTTGATTACAGTGTTGGTATAGATTCTTAAGGAATTTGGGGTGTGTTGTATGCTATATGTATGTGTAAGTACATTAATATGTTTTGAAATAGATAATTGATGAGTGCTGTCATGTTCTGTGTTGCTGCCGATGTATATTTGTATGTTTTTGTTTACTGCAAAATAATAATTAAAAAAAAATTTATGACAAAAAAATACTTCTTTAAATCAAAGTATTTCCCTTATAAAAATGTTGAAAGGAGTGAATTTTAAATCTGAATTAAAAAAAATACTCAGAGGGATTAAATTGTTATTACTGTAGTTTGCTTCTTCATCTCCTGTTATGAGACCAATCTTTATTATATTAAAAGTCAAAAGAGGAATAGAATTTTTATGCAAGTTCCAACCTTGTAAATCCTTCGAAATACAATTAATAACAGTGCACTTAAAATAGAGGTGTCCTGTAGTCTAGATTTTCCTATCACAAAATGCACAAAAATTTGTATGTATGTTGAGTTTTATTTCTGGAAAAAGTAATTATTAGGATAAATGGCCATACATAATGTTGAAATGGATCAGTTATTTTTTGTTGGAAAATAAAAATATGTTTCTGATTTTTCGAAGAGAGATCATCATGTTTTCATAGAGAAATGTTTTCTTCTTAAGGTCGTCAAAATGTCCACCCTGAATTTATCATTGCCTTTTTTGTCACTGATTATGATTATTTTGGGGTTAACCCTATTATTATCACTGAAAGACTTGTGGCGACTTTGACTGATATTATTTCTGGCCAGAAGGGGCGCTGTAGCAGAGATTCCCTCATAAAGAAAGCGCAAAGCATTCTGGGACTTTTAGTTCTAAGTAAGCATCGGTTGGCTTGAAAACACGCCGAAGAACAAAAAGAGACAAAGAAAATCGTACGTCTCTGTTGAATTCGACGTGAGTACGATGTACATTAGCCTTGAAGTTGGACAGTTTTGGGTTAATTTGCACTGAAAAGCTGTCTACTTGGGTCAAAAATAAACAGGAAGTTGTTAGCTTTGTGGGACGTGTAGTTCCGTTTGTAGGCCGCCAAGCTTGGTAACAACGCATACAAAACAGAAATATCTGTGAAATAATATAAAACTTAGGGTGTGTATTTTTTAATCTTAGGAGGGAACATGCCCGGGTTCACCTGCTGTGTCCCCGGCTGCTACAACAATTCGCACCGGGACAAGGACCTGCGCTTCTACACGTTCCCTAAGGACCCAGTTCTAAGAGAGCAGTGGCTGCGGAACATTTCCCGGGCCGGGGTCAGCGGCTGCTTCAGCACTTTCCAGCCCACCACGGGCCACCGCGTCTGTAGCGTGCACTTTTCTGGCGGAAGAAAGACCTACACGGTCCGGGTACCGACCCTCTTCCCTCTGCGGGGCGTCAATGAGCGCAGGAGTCGGAGGGGCAGAGGGAGGAAGTTGTCTGCCTCGGTTCCTGCCCCCGGGATCGTCGCTACCAGCGTCCTGGGAAACACCGCTGGCGTCGCCGAGGGGACTATCGGCGGAGAGGCTGGTGACGACAGCATCACGGTGGTTCAGATAGGCAACAATGGGGAGTACCTGGGCACGGCGCGGCTTCCCGCCCAGGCAGAGGGCACCGGTAACTACGCTCCGGAGGCTTTAGTGGAGCTCAAAGTAGAAGACTTATCGGCGGAGCCCGGGTCTAACCAACAGCAGCTGTCCGTTCACTATCTGAGTGTGACCAGCAGCCCCCTGGACCACTCCTACTCCCTGACCACCGGCACCACGTCTGCGGAGCTGCTGCGGAAACTGAACGAGCAACGGGACATCATCGCGCTGATGGAGGTGAAGATGAAGGAGATGAAGGCAACAATCCGCCAGCTGAGAGTCGCTGAAGCCAAGCTGCAGGAGGAGGTGCGGGAGCGGGACCGGTTACTGTCCAACAACTCTGCGTCTGGGAACGTCCGGAAGAAAAACTGATGAGGAAATGACTGAAGTTACATCCATCGACAGGTTGAGGAGGAGTCCGAAGAATAATCCCGCTCAGTTTTATATTAAACTGAAACTACGATCACAGTTTGTATTTAGCCTGTAGATCTGGTTTTCCTAGGCTTCATAATATAAACAGTCTGCTTGTTTTTTGTAGCAGATAGATCGACCATCATCAGCATACCCATTTCCCCCCTCATCACAGACTAATTAGCTTGCACAGACTCAATAGTATGTAAGCTCGATCCTGATGTTGCATCATAAGGGTTTATTTGTGTCCATGCCTTTCAGCTTATAGAAGGAGCCTGACCCAAGAAGCAACTCGTGATTTAACATGAAGAGCAGCAAGATGAAGAAAACACTACTCCTGACCAGCCTTTTCATCATTTAAATGCCCTCATCACAGATGCCTTTGATGTATTCTATGTTAATTTAATTTTCTTTATTTTGAAAGTGTTTGTGCAAGTAAAGAAACTCCTTAAAACTATAAGGGGAAATCAACTTATAAAATATTAGTAAAGGAAGTTTAAGTCTGTGAAACATACTTTTTTGACATTCTTTTAAAGCTACATGTAATGCTTGTCCTAAGCTAGTTTGTGTTTCTTTTTTTGCAATAGTTTATGTTCTGGACTAAAGGCTATTGTTTCACTGCTGCATCTTGACAAATTGTGTGTTTTTATGCACAGCAAGTTTTATACAGTTATTAGTTATGAACTTTGTCTGACAGACGACCTCTAATCTCAGTTTGTTCTGAAACCCGTATAATGTTTTCTGGTCATTGTTTCAGTACCTGAGGATGTAACAAGCTTCTGCAGTGTTTGCTTTGCTTTCTAACTGCAGATTCAAACAAAGAGAGATATAAGAGGGACTTCTGTTTTAGGAAAGGAAAAATAAAGCAATTGTGGTGGCTTCTGTAAACTATGTTGATTTTCTTTTACTTAATTAACCTTTTAAGAAAGCTAGTAAAACAAATTATTAATGCACAACCATAAAGAATGTAATGGAGAATGAAATCGACCACACCTTCCCAGTATAACAGTTTAGGGCAGGCACATATATGAGTAATTAATCTTCAAGTGATGAAAGTAAAATAGAGCAATAAAGGTGTCACAATACTTGTAAAACAATATTAGGGTTTCAAACAGGTAAGATGTATATGAAGTTTCTAAAAATATTTTTTCCTGGATACCATCAAATCACATTTAGTTTTTATTAGTTATTTCAATTGTTTAAATGCCAGAATATCTCGATTTTTGTATAAAAATATTGGTATGTATTTAATCAATATTTGATAGAGCTGTGTTTTAAACTGAATGACTTGAGTTGAGTAATTTGAGTTTACTTTAATAGTTTATAATAATCTACTGGAATTTGGGTCTATTCCTCCTGACTAGTGGTGAAACTAAACCAGATTTAAAGGCTGATTGGTTTACACTCACTTTTTCAACCTATCTCAGAGATTTCCTATTAGACTGAGACCATTGTTTTTTTTAGGATGCTTCAAAAATATTAATGACAGACCATTTGGAAGATCCATCAATGCTTATAGGCTTTAACTTTATATCTGATGTTCCAGGTGTTTCTTAAAAACTCAGACAACATTTATTGTCATTTTGCATACACAGAGAGTATACAAAACAAAATTTTCTTTTTGTAAAAATTTAGGCACAGCGTTCTTGCGTCATGATGCATAACTTTCATGATTATGCAATGCCACTAAGGAAGCAGTATGTATGAAAGAAAAATTATTAATTTTTCATTGTAAATTTATCAAACAATATTATTAAATAAAACATAGAAACAAACATAGAACATGTAAAACAGGTGTTTAAAACTGAACTTTGAGGCTAACCATGCAAGAAATGAATCCCACCTTGGCTGAAATGGTACAAAAAGCATCTTCCATTTGTATCGATGTACCTCTGGGAAACTGCACTCTTTTTTTTTTTTACTTTTAAAGATACTTAATACATAGAGCAGTCTGCAGGTGGATGATGAAATATTTATAGTACTGACATACATTAAGCCCAATCCTCTCACTACACACACAGACGAGGTTTAACTTCTTTAGTTCTGCTCTTAAAAACTGCTGAAATATTTTTTATGCAGTAGGAATCTAATGCAGTGTTGAAAAAAACACTAGTTAATAATATTAAATTAAAAATACATTTTAGTAATTGTGCAGGGATAAAGTTAAGGATAGCATTATGCTATTACTTTTTAATAGGTATCAAAATAATTAAACTTAAGGCTAAACATATTCAAGTCCAAAACTCTTGACTAACCTAGAGACACTTAAGTAAGCTAAGCTACTATGTGCACAAAAAAGAAGAAATGATAGCGGTCAAAAACCATACTATGTAAAATCACAGTCTGGAATGGATTTTATGTTTGAGAACCAAAGTTTATCATGAAAAGTTTGGAATAAAGTTAGTTTTTAACTTATTAAGAGCAATTTTAATTTTTACATTCACAATGCAAATACAATGAGTTAAAAATGATGACAAAATAATATTCCATGAAATTCTTTGCCTAAATCAGTAAAAAGTAAAAAAAAAATAGTATGAAAATACGTAAACATAGTAACAACTAAAATCCTGACAGTTTAATGTAGACTGTATCCATTTTGTCATTCTTACTATATCTTAAATCCTAACATTAATAGTTGAAAGTCTTTTCAGACATCTTCAGTTGTAAAAAAAAAAGACAATAAAAGATGTCTAAGTCTAAGTCATCAATATAAAATTTGCTGATAGACCTAAACAGAACCCAGTAAGCAAGCAAACTGGATATTCCAGACACCTTTGAGAGTTTTTAAATCTAGATTAGCTGTTTTAAGGTAGTGTATCTAAAATATGATAGTGTTGTATGTGTGTAAAGAGAGGATACTTGTTACAATTATTTGTACTTTTTAGAACTCAACCGAGGAAAGTCACTACAGTTTTGAACCAAAACGTTGTATGCCAGTGGAGCTGTTCAGACATTAATTTCATTATCAAGATCTAATTGAACTTTTATTGTAATTTTGTATACACTGAGTGTATACAAAACAAAATTAGATAGTAAATGAACATTTCCATTCCATAAAGTGCAGTAGTGATCAAATGTAAACAGTGTGGGAGAGGACAAATTGTTCCAGAGGACAAATTGTAAGAAGGCTGCACGTTTGCCAACCTGATCACATTTGATTTCGTTTTTTTCACTCATCTTCTATTCAAAATGTTTTTTACTGAGCATCTTTCCCAGATTTGATACATTTTCTAAAGGTGATAAGATTTTAAGATCAGACATGATAGATTAGTAGAAAGAACAGCTAAGGTTTAACCTCTAGGTGGCGATGAGATAAATGCTGAGAATTACTCTAGCTCCAATCAAGGCTCGACTCACCTTAGCTACCTCACTGTATCTGATGGCAGATTTAAATGATCACTCTATGATTATTTTTACATACAGAATAGCTTTGTGTCATGCTGTAAACGATTGTTAGCAGTTTCGCTCCTCCAAGCACATTAAAATGGGTGAAAGTGAACCTTTCATGAGAGTGATCATGAAACAGAGAAAGCAGGGGAGATGATGAATGGATAGAGCATACTGGAGAGAGCAAGGATTCAGATCCCTAATCTCATCTGGCTTTATCTTTTACTCCCAGCAGTGTTGCATAATTCCTTAATCCGGCGCAGTCAATCAGATTTACACAACTCTTGTTTTATTTTCTGAGGTGGTTGCCATTTACAACCAATGTCTTCATGTTGGGGCCAGCGACAGAACTCGTTCTCAGATACTGTGGAGTGAATTAATATAAATATGACAATTGATCAAAGTATGATGTACAAGGAGACAATAAGGATGCTAAACTTTAGATATGTCAGCTAACGAGGGATGCATTTAGTTAGAATTTAGTTAGAATAGGCTGTAACAATAATGCAAAAACATTTAAATACTTTTTTGTCACCTGACATTTGTAAGTTTGGGACAGACTGTGATTAACAGGCTTGCTGCATCCTACAAGACAACTGTGGAAATAAAAAGCCAAACAGAGCTTAAACAAACATTTAACAGCAATTAACTTGCTGCATGCATAACTAGCATTTACATTTTCTTATTGTTTGTACTTGAAACATTGTTAACAATGCAGCCATTAAATCACCATCAGTTATCACTTTAACAATCGTTTAACCCACACCACCAGACACACATTCTAAAATTATATGGAGAATGTGGCTGGTTATATTTGGGGTTGGTTGTCACTGAAGTCCTGCCCACTAAAGGTATGCGTTATGATTTTCTTTGTATGTATTTTCAAACTAGTTGTCACGGACTAATTAAATTTCCATTTTGGCTGTTTGATACTTGATATAAAGGAGTGTAACTTATGATTTTTGCATTTATGTTTTTCTGTTCTTTAAACGATAGAGTTATGCATTAACATTGATTAACCTTTTAAAGGGAATGCAGGTTTTCTCTTTGCTATACTATAGGATGCACTTGCTAGCCCAGCAAAAAAATCCTGGAGAGGATGGCTGTCACATGGGTCCAGTTCATACAGTGCATGAAGTGGAAACACCAAGAATGTACAGTACAACCAAAGTGTATTTGTCAAAACAGACTCAAAACGTGAGTAGAGGAAACAGCAGAGATTAAGGTATTTTTTTTATACAGATTTATGCTATGTTTAACCTATACTCTGTCAGTTCATGGCATATGAGATGCAGTTGCCTTTTCAGATTAAAAGATTGTATTTAAAGACTAGCATTTCTCAAATAGATCTTTTTTTTAACACATCCATCCATCCATCCATCCATCCATCCATCCATCCATCCATCCATCCATCCATCCATCCATCCATCCATCCATCCATCCATCCATCAGCTTGGGTGTCTGATCAGACACTTTTTAAAATTTGTTTTTGTTACACATTGGACTTGGATTGACTGAGCATAGCATTGTTTTGGAGTTTAAATGAAAGCAAAAACAACCAACCTCTCCTCTTTGCAGGGTTAAAAAAGGTAGAAGAGTAATACCAAACCTCAATGTATTCTCCTGGGATTTTATGTTTCAGACCAACACAAAGTAGTGCAAAGCTGTCAAGATACGACTGTCAAAATTTTTTGCTGAAAGATATCTCAGTTGTATGAAATGCATTCATTTTCACCCCCCAGATAAGAACAGATAGAAACTGTAAAAAGAAACATGTATAGTTGCAATGGATAGAAAACCCTCTTTCTTCTTAAACAAATGTACAATGGTGGTACAATTCAAAGCTTTCAGAAATGATAAAAAGCCCAACATTTGACTTGTACTAATCAGCAACAACATAAAAACTGGTGACCATAGTTAACCAATAAGGCCATAACCTCCATATGTTTTAAAGATCTAATAGTTTGAGACTTTCATTTGTTACAAAATTAGCTACTTAGATGTATGAATTAGAAGCCGATGTCTTATACAGAGCCAGATTCTTCAGAAAGCTAACAGCTGTTTTAAATCGCAGATTGATGAAGGGTTACTTTTTCCTCCGAGTCAGAGTACAGAAGGATTTATACTAATAATGAGTTTCAGCCATCTGGGGGGGCAGTAATGTGGGAGGATAAGAAGATGGTTCACAAAAAGCATATTGAAGCCGATTTTGTGTTTTGAAACAGTTTAGTTCTAACTTACAGCTATGTTTATCACTTTCTCTTACTACACCCTTCATGACCTACATAGGTGTATAGAGGGGTCCTCCCATGGGCGGCAGCTATTCTCCAAGGCCAGCCTGCATCTGCTGCAGATTCCCAGGTGAGCTGAAATCTCTTGTTCTCTCCGGGACATCGTCCATCTGTTCAAATGAAATGACTAAATAACACAAATCCTTTTCACAGTTTTAAAAATTTTCAGGTCACCTACTGGAATACTCAGCTCCTTGTTTCAGAAAAAAAGAAGCCTGCGGGTATTTTAGTAGCCTGTGGCTGGGGACACAATCACCATTAAACCAGACATAATTCATTTGTGTTTCAAATAAATGCTCCAGATACTGAAATACCGGAAATGAGAATGCTTTAATCCACTGAGCTGTGTTGGGATGCTGTCATTGGTCCCCTGCACACACACACACACACACATACACACACTCTGACTGCCACAACATCCTCTTTGCTCTGTGTGATGCATTGGTCTCAGTCTCTGGTAATCCAGCTTGGTTGTGCCTCTGAACATTGTCGTACTTTCTGCAATCTGCCAATTTCTGTACGGATGAACCACATTGGAATATCTTAAAGCGTCGACTTTTCCTCTGTTTTTGGACCTCCAGCTTGTTGGAGTCTCAAAGGTGGTAATCAGCTCCTGCAGGACTCTCCTAGACCCTACTATGAAGTCCCATCCAGGAGTCTCAACAGTGCTGCCCATCGCTCTCTGCCTCAGTAAGGATCTGCTTTGAGCTGGTTTCTTCTATCTTTCATGGGTTGAACTTTTTCTAACTTATGCCCTTCATTCAATTGAGTTATTCAAACTAAATAAGTCTATTTAGATAAGCAGCTGAGCAAAAAAACTGTCTTAGAAATGAACTTTCCAAATGTTCTGCAGACAGTTTAATTCTATGAAAAAAATGTTCATGTTATATACATTTCCAGCTGAGAAGCAGGACAATTAAGGTAACTTACAGATAGGGAAAGTTATTTCTTTTATGCGCATGTAGAGAAAAACAAAGATATTGTGACTTATTGTTATGAGGTCAACAAAACCATGGTTGTTAGCTTACAGCATGCTGTTTAAGAGAAAGTTTAAGTTGTAAAGCTCATCTGACTTTATAGACTCTAATCAGAGTTTGGTCATAATATGCTCTCACCCAAATCATTAAGTGGTTAGGGTTTGAGAGAAGCAAATGCTATTTTTTCAGCATTTTATTACAGAGCTGGTATAGCACATTTACAGAGCTGGTATAGCACATTTTATATGCCATGGACTTTGAATTTAGCCAAAAAAAAAAAAAAAATGGTAAAAAAGTAAAAGTTTCAATGTGAAGCGTACAGTATATGGTATTACAGCAGCTGTATGAAAGAAGGCTGCAACAGCTTTCCCTTTGACGGCCACATCTACTATGCTTAAATACTACAGAGGCAATGCTAAATGAGAGATATATCAGCTTGTGTCACTTTTTTTTACTTCATAATAACATAAAAGCAAAAAGGAATGTTATCCTACACAATAAACAGATTTAGCTGAAAATTACCAACTGCTGACAAGCTAACCGGATCTCTACTGTTACTTCATCTATGTCCTGATCTATACAATATCAATGAAAACCTGATTAGAACTAATAGTAACAATATGCGTACAGTAGTTTGAATATTTGCTGCTATCTATTTGAAGTGAAGGTATATCAATTATGTATGTTTTCTTCTTAATTTCTTATTTAGGTTTAATAGGAGAACCGTAGGTTCCTAACAGCTATAAAATCAGCTATAAAATCAAACAGCCAAAATGGAAATTTAATTAGTCTGTGACAACTAGTTTGAAAATGCATACAAAGAAAATCATAACGCATACTTTTAGTGGGCAGGACTTCAGTGACAATGGAACAATATGGGTTCTAGATTTGTTGTTCAATATAAAAATATTCTTTTTACTCATACTTTAAACCAAGCTGAGGCCTAAACAGGGGCCCCAACTGCTTTTAAAGAAGAAAACCAATGTTGTATTTAGTTACATACAGCAACCTTGTTGTGTGTCTAGACCTAGTAGTGCACAAATACACATGTTGGCAGGGTCATACTGGCAAAGTTGTTTTGATTACCTTTACTTTCTAATGGAAAATGTCTGTTAAGATAGGAGGGATAATTCTGGAACATACCAATTATATTTTTATTATATAAACAGTTGCATTATTAGGTTATCAATTATGGAAAACTGGAACATTTTAAGGTAATCTTGTATTTTCCTCCTCCATCACAAAAAAATGTTAAGACATTGCACTTTAGGTTTGAATTTAGAAAGTAGGCTCATTTCATGTTGTTTTAATTTAACAAATACACTGTCCCTCTTTCTGACTAAACATTCATTTTTAACTCTGTGATGAAAACAGAAAAGATTCAAATCTCTGAAGGGTCGTTCTCTCCACAGACCGAGATTCAAAGTTTGTCACACAACAAAAATAACAGATGGCACCAACAGAACAATCTATGCGGAAACAAAATAATAGAAATAAACAAGCAGAAAGCCTGTTAGATGCACTATGTGGTGCTTACGTAGCCTGCTGTCATCGAGGACACATGAAACCTAAAGTATTTTATTCAAGAGATGTCATCTCTTTTGATAATTCAGTTAAAGTGCTGCTTAAACAGTCTCAGGGAAATATGTAATCTATGAGCTGATCAATGTACTCCAACAGCTTCAGTGCAGTAGTCCTGCACTAAATTTGGATCTGATGGCGTATAATCTGTCCAGATGAATGGAGGACAACATATCTCTTTATTTGTTTGATCCATCTAAGCACCAGATGGAATTTTCTACACTAATATCATTACAGAAAGACTCTAGGATACTGTTCAAACACACCTTCTTTGCATTTTCACCTCCTTCAGGTTTGGCTCCTGTGTGTTTGGGAGCTGCCATCCCTGCTGCATGTGGAACCATCTACAAGAGCTTTGCTCAGTGTTTACTCTCACTTGGGGACAGCTTGGTGGAAACACAAAAAGACCAAAATACACAAGATATAGACTCGATCTGCAGGTACGTTTTTTTTTTTTCACCCTTCATAATTCAATTACACATTTTAAACTTCAGTATTTTGAGGAATAAGAATGAACATTAATTTTCTTCTTCAGTGGGAAAATCCAGTGCATTCCATTAAAACACACAGAAGACAAAAAAAATTTATTTTATATGTAAATAAGTAGGAAATGTGGATCCTAAAACATATGAGATGATGAAATTAAAGAATAATAAAAAAAAAAAACTTGTGTCAGAAACATTTTAGAACGCAGTTTAAATATCTGTGTAGTTTTAGGCCTAATGTTAATTGTATGTTAAGCCTCATCACTTCATCGCTGAAATATGCATTGAATAATGCAATGAACATTTTTATTTACATCTGTTATCTTTAAATATGTCTTTTTTAGGAACTTTTTAATTTATTTTCAAAAAACACTACTTTATATATAATTTCACAAAGAAAAATAAAGCTATTTATCTCATAGACCGGCTTTTGGTAAAAAATGGACCAAATATCCAATTGTTGAACTATTGCTGTAATAGATTAGATTATATTGCACACAGATGGACACTGTCTGTTAGTAAAGTAACATAAGTATGATTGCAGCTGTCCACTGAAGACCTCAGTGGTTTTGTCAGAGGACATAAATGAACAGCGATTATCATAAGGACCATAGAGCCCAGCAGACACGTCTGGGATAAGGTTGTGAACATGTCTTAAAGCAGAAGTAGCTTATAAACTATGTCCCAACTTTCAATATTTTACAAAGCTAATTTTGAATCCCTTATTTGTAACTTTAAATATGATGACTCAACAGCGAAGCTACTGAGGTAAGGCCACCCACAGAGTCTGAGAGACTGGGTAGGTAGAGCTCTAATCAGAGTACAGCTATGAGCATAATGGTGACTCTGGAGGTGCTGCAGCTCATGTTGGAGAAACTGTGACAGGACGACTGCCGGTCATGAACTCAACAGATCAGTTAGACCATTAGAGAAGGATGGCACAAAGGAAACCCCGTTAAAGATAAGTCATAGATGCAGTCAGAATCATTGGAAGGATATAAAAGTTGATGGCCACAGTTGCTTTCATTCTAATTTGGCTAAAAACAGGCTATTTTACCAGGAAAAAAAAAAACAATTTCCGTAGAGATTTACCTCGACGGTCTTGTAGCCATAATTGCAAATACAAACCACACCTCAGATTTTATCTGCAAAACTTGTAAACCATGTATCATTTCACTCCCTTAAAATGAAGTAATTTGGGTTGGTTTATCCTAATAAAATACATCAATGTTTATGATAGTAACGTGTATTTAGGCTACTGTGCTCATAATATCCCAGAGATCTGCTATGACTTACTTCAAAGTCTTTTTCCATCCTTCCTATCTTAAAGGTCCTGGAATGCTTTTCATGTCTGCGCCAGCACTGCCTTGGCTGGCTGTCCTGGAGAAGCAGCGGCTATCTGGGAGTCTCTGAGGCAAGAGTCCAGGAAGACCCAGTTTTCCGGAAACCTTTACGACATGTGTGCCAGCCGGACAACTCTTCCCCCCAGCGCTGTGCCTACACCTCAGAGCTCTGCCACCTCAGACCAGATGAACAAGGAGACTCTGAAAGGGCAAACACACAGGCTGAGTCCCACCAGCATCTCAATGCTTCTCCCTGGGTTCATCATTCTACTAGTTTCCCTCCGGAGTTAGTCCACCCAACAGAGACGCTCATTTAGCAAAGACACTTATCAAGCTGCAAGCTTTTGAACTGGTTTAGATGGAGATGTCACTGTAAAAGTGTAAATCTATGTGGGTAGTCTTATATAAGCAAGCCTAAGAAATGAACAAGATTTTGAAGGTGTTTATAGCAATAAATGTTTTATCTGACTGACGACAACTGTTCATCTGAAGGCTGCTCCAAGCCCAAGAACTTCAGCTCATCATGGACATTTTCAGTTCTAAAAATGTGAAATGATTTACTTCACTGGTTTGGTTCTTTTTCATTCAACACATCTAATTCTGGGCAAACGCCTAGTTTTTTTTAATATTTATCAGACAAACGTAGACATCTACGTTTCTAAGAAATCTATTTTGTTTGGTTTAAAGCCTCTTTCAAATTACAGACCTCATGACATACATTTTAATGTCTATTTATTGGAGCCTCTCAAAAACATGTTTTTTGTTCCAATTACTTTGACCGAATCTTAGAAAAAGTCCAAAAATAAGGACTAACAGACTCTTTTTGAGAGCAGTTTACTCATTTAGGTTATTTTGAAAATGTTTGTACTGGCTTTTTCCTTATCAACCACTTCTCTTAATTTAACAGGACCTTTGATTAAGCAGCTTTTCAAACAACATTAGCTACAGCAGAGGAAGTTGGAAGTAACATATTTGAAATAAAACCTGACAAGAAAAAAAATAAAACCTGACAAGTTAAAATGTTCATAGAAATTGTCCTTTTCACAAGAGAAAGATTTAAATAAGCAGGATTTTAAAACAATGCTTTAATTCCTTGTATTTTATTGTGCAGCCAGTTTTTAAAATCTGAAACTTGTGCCCTACTTCTTTATGAATTTGGAAACGTAATAAAATGTTATCCTTTGCTTTAAATGTTTCATTCAGTTGAACCTTTTTTCATCAAAGCTCCTTATTCTGAATTTCAGGATGCATCTAAGTAAAAGTAAAAATATCCTTTTGAAGCTCTCTCCACTTTTTAATTCTCATCCTGGTTTCTCTGCCACTTATCTGGTTTTTAAACCAATTGCTGATTTAAACACAAACAAAGCAGTTGTTTTTATAGTGAGTCCAGCTATAGTCATATCAATATGCGTAGGTGAAATGAGTGTGTGAGCCTGTATGTTAAACTTAATACTCTTAAGCCGTTTCATAACTGGAGATTCATGAGCAGATTAATCTAGTCTTTCTCTCATGCACAGAAAAGCGGGTTGTACCTCGAAGCCTTTAAAATTTATCCTCATCTCTACAGGTAGAAGACGATTAGTGGTGCATTAGGTTCTTAGCTATAAGCCTTTATTTGTGACAGAAGCACGACATCAGCAGGTGCGACGGGATCAGAGAAAAAAAAACTCACCACTGCAGCATCAGCTGTTTGTCCCAATAATCAGTGAATCCTCATTTCCATTTCCAAATTTCAGGGAGTTTGACATTCACAGACGTCATCAGTGCTGCTGACTGAAAAGCCATGGTTACAAATTTTGAGAAGATTAATATGCGATTCAGTTTTTGTCCTGGAATCTGTCAGCTGTCTTCTTTGGCTTTTAGAGGCTGTTTGATTTCTACACAATTACCCAGAAGGTATGCAAGGTCTTTACTACAAATTTTTTGTTCCTTAAACATACATAGAAGAAACTACATAGAAAAAAAAGAACTTTAACTTTCAAACATCTGAATAGATTTACGTTAGACGTATTCATTAAATGGAACCCTAGAAGCAGTGCTCCACAAAAAAAATGCATGTGCACAAGCCTGTACCCGCTCCGAAGAGGGAATGCATATTAAACATGTTATAGAGCATGCACAAGCCCATTTCTCCTCATGCACGCTCTGTTGAAAAGTTGCTGTTTACATCTTTCATATAAGCTTAATTTCTAAAAGAAGATTTGCAACTTTTCCACTATGTCAGACTCACCACCGGTAAGTGAAAAAGGAGACGAGCATGTTGGGCGGCCTTATGTAAACACATCACCAGAATGATTGACAGTTAGGAGGACCACTTATTTTGACGATTCACCTGAAAAAAACATCCTTCACTATACCATTATATCATATTGATATCCTTAAAGGAATATGTCTCATAATTCTTGCAAAAGTTCTGCTTCATAATAAAAACAGCAAATTAATTTTAAAAAAAAAAAATCAAATGCTAGAGTAAATGGAAAACTTATGCCAGTTTAGTTTCCTGCGGGAAGAAGTTATGTAGCTCTGTTCTGCATCAAGACTTACGGGTTTCATTTTTCTCTGAACCCCTGAAGACAAATCTACTAAATGTTAATGAGAAATGTTCACCTCAAGTTCATCATATCAAAACAGCTTAAGTTCTAAATTCTTAATTAAATAATAAAACTGAATCTAATTTAGATTCTCTTAAATGTGTTTCATGCACCCCATTGTTCGCCACTGATTACAGAAACACAAATGGCTGTTTTACCACTACTGAGTATATTAATAGTTAGTTTAAATACTGACAATCTGATGGGAATATTTAAAGGTTATCAGAAGTTCTAAACTGTAAATATGAGCTCAGAAAAAGTAAAACTATCAAAAATAGTGCATTCCTCTGCTGAGCCCCACTTGGCTCTCATATCATGTGATCTTCTGCCATTCAGTCCCTTGGCAGATTTGTCCCTTTCTCATTGCTGTTGTTCCCATTTTCTCTACAGTTGCTTAATGTTTAGCTTAACAAGGCTTTGAGTTATTGAGATCCATCTGCAAGTCTGACTCTTTGCATTGTCCCAACTATTGATTTTTAAAATCTAGGTTGATTATTACGCAAATAGATTTCATAAAAGTGACCTCACATAAACTTTAGCACTAGCTAACTATTCACTACAATAAAAAACGAATACTTCCAATTAGGCAATTGAGGTGAACATGGTTACCTTGCCTGTTTGCATGGCCTTAAGCGGTTGGATGCAAGGAGATATCAAGAAGTCGCAGATCAAGCAGGTGTTCACTCACCAACATTAACAAGGAGACTAATGTACAAAACTCCTGAGGTCTCAGCAGCAGCCCTGAGTAATCTTAAAAGGAAGCATTTATTAACCTAATCCTCCTTAAACATACTAATAAAATATATTATTAATCAAAATAAATCTCAAACATTTATACACAAACATATGTGTACAACAGGACTAAAATAATCAAATACTTAAAAAAGAAATGTTACGAAACATCCAAAATGTTTAAAAGATATTTTCAAGTTCTTCAATTAAATTCATAGCATCAACTTTAACCCTTCTCTTCCAAAACCTTGACATAGGAATCTTTTAGATATCAGAGCCATTATCCTGCTGCTTTTACATGCATCCTCTCCCAAACACACCTGTGTCAAATGGATGGCTTGTTACCAGGCCTTTGAATGGCTGACTGGCATTCTGAGGAGGGGGTAAAGCTGTCTGACTCAGGTGCGTTGGAGCTGGGATGTATTTGATTTGCAGGGTAGCAGCTCTTAAATACTGGACTTGGACACCCCTGTTTTAAGGAAGGAAAATATGAACAGCTATTGTATTTTCAACTCTTTTGGAGATCCTTAGTTGGAGCATCCCCTGTCAGTTTAGACTGCTATTCATTCATTTTTTCATTCACAGGAGGAGGGGCCTTCATCAGTGTCACCCAAGGAATAAACTTTCCTTTGTTTTATATCATTAAGTGTAATATTTTAAACTAAATCCTTCATATATTCACTATGAAATAATAAATTCATATACAACACGGCCTTTGCTTTCTATTTTCCATGTTCTACATTGCATTTTCCTTCCTAAACATGATTTTCCTCTGTTTGCCATAGATAACTCATCTTCAGATGCGCCGCTGCTGTCAATAAATGAACATAAAGGGGCAGGGGTAGACTGTACACCACAAAACGCTCACTTTAGTGTCACAATTTTCACTTCAGTGAGAAATGCTTAACAGGCAAATTCAAACCAAGCATGTGTGGGTCTATATATTCAGTCACAGCAGGTAGCCATGCTAGTTCCCTCTCAGGGAACAATCCCTCTGCTTGTGGAGCTGTGAGTTTTTTTAAGTTGGGCAGGTGTCATGGAGGAACTGGCCCGTGAGAGCATCAGCCTGCTGGCCCGGTCCGCATCACATGCTGATCCACCAAGGCTCGGCTCATTTGGAGCTGTCTTCATTATGTTGAAGTCTGCACTTGGAGCTGGACTGCTCAACTTTCCTTGGGCCTTTAAGAAAGCAGGGGGTGTGAACACTGCCATCACTGTGGAGCTGGTGAGTGCAGCCTGAGCTTTTATTTAATGCAAAGCTGTAATTAAGTCTATTCAAAGCTAATCAGAAGGTTTTTGTGAGTACGTTCTGGTGATGGCTCGCAATCATCTCACTCTGTCTCTCCCTTGTGTGAAAGGGTCAGATTTTTTTCACAGGTGAGCTCTAATGAAGCTTCAGCTTTAGTGAGGATTTGTACTGAACTGCATCTGACTCTGATCAACCTGTGTGCTTTGAGTGAAATTTTGCTTTGTAAGCAAAGTAGTAGATTAAGCTGGATCTTTATGTCTTAGGATTTTCTTACTAATTGTAAATATTAGGAAATACCTGTTTTGCTCCATAGTGTAATTTCTTACCTTTTCAATGTATATGGCACAAAAAATTAAAAATAAATAAAAATACAATCCTTAGAAACATGCATTTTAAAAGTTTTTACGTATTGTGTATTTACAGGAACAAATATGTATTTATGCTTGTTTGAATCAATATATCTCCTGCTGTAGGTGTCTCCCCATAAGTATGAAAACAAGAGTTTGTGTGACTACATTTGGCTTCATCCACAATCAATGTAAAATAGTCACTGGCTATTTTTTCATTGCTGAATATCTGGATTCTAATTGTTTCCTTTGCCCACATGCACATATAGTTGTGCACTCTGGATGGGTTTCATTTATTTAATGCTTTTTAAATGGTATTCTCCTTTAAAAGAAACAATTTAATATGCCTCATTGGTAAAAGTTAACTTTTCCTACCTGGGGTTTCAGCTTTTTTTTTTAAAGAGGATGTTGCTTTATTTTCCTGAAACATAAAAACAATCTAAACATAATGTTGTATTATATAATAAGTTGGATTTTGGTGGCTGAACACAATCTTAATGTCCTTTATTTTCTTGTTTTTAAAAGAATATGTTGTTGAGATTAGTGGCTCTATCAAAGGTTTCTCATAGTTAATGGAGGCGCCCCATACTAACAGACTTTATCTGCATGTGAAGCTCTTCAGGTAAATTTTGTCTGTAAGGTTCTTTTTGTTTCACATTTTTAGCCTCAATAGGTACCAATTTTAACTGACCCAATCTCTTAAAAAAAACAAAACATTTTGTTCAAAATAACTTTATCATTTGGGACTGAGCTATTTTTTTTAGAAAACAGAGGCTGTGAAACTCCTTCCCTGTGTAGATAAGTTTATAATGTTCCTGCAGCTGAGAAGAGCTTTATCCAAGGATTATTGTTGAAGCCCTCATTATATTCTCTGCAGGTATCTCTGGTGTTTCTCATCAGTGGTCTGGTCATCCTGGGTTATGCGTCATCTGTCAGCAGACAGAAGACCTACCAAGACGTAGTGAGGGAGGTGTGTGGACGCGCTGTGGGGCAGCTCTGTGAAGTCTGCTTTTGCTTCAACCTTTTCATGATTAGTGTTGCCTTCCTGGTGGTGGTGCAGGATCAACTGGAGAAGCGTGAGTAAAAGTGTGACGAGCCCAGCCACCATATTTTATAGAAAGATCTCCTTTTGTTGAGCTTGTTCTCAAGTGATCTAAGCAAAATTCTATTTGACAGACACACTTGCTGTACAATTTGATTGAATTAAAGACTATCTGAAGTTGCTCTGTTTTGTTTTTGTAACAGGTGCAATGAAGGTCCTCTCGCTACATCTTCTTGTGTCAGCTCCTTGTCTTTGCACTTTAGAGCAGCCTTATTTCATTTTAGTAGCTAACATTTATACAAAAGCAGTAACCTATTGTTCATTGCACTGAAAAAAGGAAGAGTATCATGAGTCGACTTGATGATTTAAAACAATGGACAAAACAGCATTAGGGAAAGTTCTTTTAGTTATTTTTTAACTTCTAAATTTAGGATTTCTGCCTACTTTGTTTTATTATCATACTTTTATATCTTGGCTTTTTTGTTAAATAGTTCTATGGACAGCTTTCGGTACTAATTTGCAGTGTGACCTTTGCCTTGAAGGGGAGAAAGAGAAACTGCAAAAAAATATTAATCTATAATAATAATAAAAAATAAATAGTTTTGGTTATAGCCTGATGAAGAAATTATGTTTTTTTTCTGAAACATTTACTGTGTTTGAACTATTTAAGACCAAAATATCTTCAGTAATTGTAAATTGTATGGCAAGCTTTAGCCAGTGATTCATGATGTCCATTGCAATGGTCAGATGATTAACTGCACTTTCTTCACAACATAAAAGCAAACCTTTAAAATTCTGTTAATCATACAGGACAGACTGCTGAGCATAAACACTTTAGAGACCATTTCAGGGTCCCTTTTAGACTGAAGATCCCATTGAGTGATGACCTCAGGCCTCAATCTGAACCACAGAAAAATCTACCGGTATGTGCAAAGCAATAAAGCTGACAGTGGCTCCTCCACACATCCCCTCCAAATCCCTTTCAGGCTTAAAGACGCATCCATATGAAACAAAGCTGAAATATTATTCAGCAGATAAAGATGCATTTAAACAGCTTATCATTCTTGGTGGTTACCTTCATCAAAAACTTCACAACAGACTGTAAGATGTTGGCATCTGTAAGATCAAATGCTCCCACTCTTTGAACATTATCCTAATAAATTTATGCTTTTTTTTCCTCCAGTGTGCATTTCTCTGTACGAGACTGTGACTGGATCAAGTGAGGCAGACATGCCTTATCACTGGTACACTGACCAGCGCTTTGCCCTCTTCATTATGTGCCTTATCATCATCCTTCCCCTGTCCATCCCAAAGGAAATCGCCATACAGAAATACACAAGGTACTCTGCATTCATCCCACCTCTGCTAAGAGGTTTTCTACTTATTTCTTTAAAATATATATTTTTTTCGTCAGTGTATTAGGGACGCTTGCTGCTACCTATCTCTGTGTCGCCATCCTTGTCAAGTATTATCTAATGGACAGCCACATAGCTGTTACCCCAGTGCAAAGCCAAGGGTCAGTAACCCTTACTTTCCGTACATAGGTGTGTGTGTAGATGTGTAGTATCCTTGTCATGTGTGCATCTGTCAATGTGTGTATCTTTCAGAGTGAGCTCCTGGGCCTCTATGTTTAGCGTAGTGCCAACAATTTGCTTTGGATTTCAGGTACAATCCCCTTTAACCACATTAAAGTTGTTGAAGAATAGCTATATATATACCGTATATATATAATTTTTTTTATTTTTTTTTTATTTTTCCTCTTTCCTAATTTGTCAGACTTTCAACCTACTTTATTTGTTTTACGTCTTTGTACAAGACCACGACCTGATGTAAATATATATTTGCACAGGAAAAATATCTTGAAGGAAGGTTCAAACTAACTTTAAGAATAATCTAAGCACTGAATTTCACATTCATTGTGAAATTGCCAAATAAAACACACCAACTAAAGTCCTTTCATGGCAGTTCTGAGGCTAATAAAAATTAGTAATTGACCTTTATTGATCTCACATTGGAGATTTTACCTCTGCATTTAACCCATCTCCTTGGGGAGCAGTGGGCTGCCATTGTGCACCACTCGGGGAGCAGTGTGGGATTAAGGGTTCTGCTCTGAGAGCCATAGTGGCAGTCTGTGGGAGTTTGTTTAAAACTCACAACCACTAGGCCGCCACTCCCCCAATGTGCTAGATTTACATAAAAGGATTTCTAATTGGTGTCAAAATTATTGTGCTTTCAAATATGTTTGTCTCTACGGAAAATTCACTCTTAAAATCACAGATGTGGTCTTTTTTCTTACAGCTAAGAACAAAAAGATGGTAAATATGTGTTAATAATATTTAGGCCTTTATTGGATGTAATCCTGAGTGAAATAAATAATGATCTGTGCAGACATTGTGAAAACACTTTAACAAATCATGAGGCATCCTTCTGTATTTGAGTGCAGTGCCATGAAGCCTGTATAGCAATCTACAGCAGTATGGAGAACCAGAAGCTCCTGCATTGGGTGGTCATCTCTGTGCTCTCCATGTTTTTTTGCTTGCTCGTCTACACTCTAACGGGTGGGTTCCCTTCTCAAATGTCTGTATTTCTCTCTAACGTACTAAACCTGAGCTCCGCTTATCAAGTTCACTCTGTCTTTCACTAGGTGTGTATGGCTTTTTGATGTTTGGGCAAGATGTGGCCTCAGATATTCTTATGTCATATCCTGGGAATGACGTGGTCATGATTATCTCCAGGCTGCTTTTTGGAATATCGATCATCACCATATATCCCATTATTCTTCTGCTGGGGAGGTAAGTGAAACAGGGGAGTTTGTGCTCTCATGGTGAGGTTTCTTGTCTAAGGATTCTGATATGTTGTCTATTTGGTGCAGATCTGTGATCCTGAACCTGCTGTTACGTATTCAAAGAAATCGTCGGGGAGTTTTCACCCAATCATTTGAGAGTCGCTGCAGAGTCATGCTAACTGTAGCCTGGATCTCCTTCACTCTTCTGATTGCTATGTTTGTCCCAGACATGGCTGACGTCATCAGCGTTATTGGAGGAATCAGTGCCTTTTTCATATTTATCTTCCCTGGTGTGCAGGCACTTAATTTGTTTATTTAGAGCCAGTTTCACTTTATTTTCTTGCTGGGAACTTGTTTATATATAGTGCTGGAGTCAGACTCTATACTTGAACTTAATTTTGGCAAAAACTCCATGCTAATCACATTTTCAATGGCTGTTTAGTTGTAGCTTTATTCTTTTTGTGAGTGAATGCTGTTGGCTTTTCGCTTAATCAGAAGTTGCATTAGGAAGTCATTATAACACACACCCAGACTGGGTGAAGATTTTATGCTGCATACCCTTCCTTATTTGAATTACTATTGAAGACATGCACTTACCCTGTTCTGATACACCAGATTAGAACAGATTTTTTTGGGCAGTCTAAAACGCTCAGAGTATTATTGTGTCAATTAAATGTAACCCACATGACAGTACCAAGACTTGGACATAACAAAAAATAAGACATGGGTTGAGATGTATAGTTTTTGAGATGGTCATAGGGCCTTCAAGACATTAAAAGACACTGAAAATGTCAATTTGCATTTATATACTATTACTCATCAGATGCTTTGTTCACAGCTCAAGCAATTCTGGAGAGGAAAAAGGGTTCTGGTATTGTAGATGACAGCAAATATTCATATGTCTGGTGCTTAATGCGTAAAGATGCAAACTTGTAGGCTCTTATTTGACTCTAATTTAACTTTGTAAATCAGAATTGTAATGTCTTCATGCAATCATGCATTGGTTCTAAACCATGATCCCCTGCTGTACTCCAAATCTTAACTGTGTTTTTGCTCCTGCACACCTGAGACATGCACAACAGTGATTCCCAAGGGCCAGGGATTAGAAACATTATTTCAGTGGATTCCATTCAGCAAGAATCTGTAGTTATTGTTCTTCACAAAAATCTGTCAGGCAGAGATGCATTTAAAAGTAAACTTCTTATATATTTCCTTTAATACAACTAAAAACAAGTAAAGCAAAGTCAAACTAAAACGTGTACCATTAGTTCAGGCAAATAAACATAATATTTTTTCCACACAATATATCACTTGCTTTACATTAAATGGGCAAACTGGGAAATCTGTGTTTTATCAAATTGTGATTATTTAGCATGTACAGAGTTACTTTATTTTGGTCACTTTCCATTTAACAAAAGTAAAACAATGACTCTCACACACCCCAGCTCTTTAGGTATTTGCTCTGAGTGTGTTTGCTGCCACACAGTAGTTCTAGCTTGTACAAAGATCCATAAATGCGAGTAGAAGTAAGCACTTGTCCATCAACAATAACAGCAAAGTCCTGCCAGAATGAAGTCTGGACAAACAAGCTCTCAACATATTGAAAACAAAGAAACCATGGAGTGAAACACCTATATGCTTGTGGTTGCTGCAAAAGAAAATAAAGTTGCAAAATTGGTTAAAAAATGTTGTTTTTTTTCAACATTTTTTGCAAAATTGTTCAGCCCTAACTGTAATGTATTAAACACAAATTGTTTTTTATGTTCTTTTTTTGCTTGTATCCTGCAGGTCTTTGCTTAGTGTTCACAATGCAAACTGAAGATGTCTCCCCAAGAGTCCGGTGAGTCTATCTGCTGTATTAAAAGCTAGGCAGTGTCATAGGGCACAATATATAATTCCCCAGGGCAACCAATTTCAATGGAGAAATTCTAATAAAAACAATAAAAATTGATAAGGTACGAAAGGCAATAAAATTTAAGACGGTTACCATGGCAGAAAATATAAGATATTGATGCCATCTGCTATCAAAACATGCACATTACCTTGCATTATAAATGGTTCACTTTTTGGAAATACTGAGCACTAAATACCAGAGCCAGCTATAGTAGGTATCAATCAAAATGTCTATACCATTTTTAAAAAATATTTTAGAGCGGCAGTTTAAAAACAGCCATCCACTGTACAGAGAATAATCTTGCAGTGACGGACATTCATAATTAACTGCCAACATTCCCAGGTCTGGTTGTTCAAGTAACTTCTCCTTAATCCCTCATGTGTCAATCCTGTCTAAAGCTTTACAGAAAGAATATAGACAAAAATCAGCACTTCTGAAATAATAATGTTGTTTTGAGAGAGGAGTCTAAAACTAACAAAGGACACTTTTGGCATAAACTAAATAAAGCAATCCAGGATAAGAACCTTGCAACAACGGTGAAGCATAGAGGTGGAGGTGTCATGCTTTGCAGATGTTATACAACAGCTGGACGTTGCCATCTCACAATCACCGAAACCCCTCTAAATTATACCATGTATCACAAGAAAAGGATGTAAAAAAGGAAAAAAGCTTTGAAGCAAAACTGGACCCTGCAACGTGACATTGCCCCAAAACACACCAAGGAATCCATTAAAGACTGGCTTAGTATTAGTAAATGGAATCTCCTGGCCCGAGTAGTCCGTTTTCTTGTAAGGTGATTTTTAAATGGGTCTCTTTATGTAGTAAATACCTTAAACATTTCAGTGGATGATAGAGGGAAAAATTTGAGTTATTAGAGGGCATATGTCTAAACTTTTTCCTCAGTTGGTTTTTATATTTTTTTTTATGTCTAAACGAATAAAGGAATGTAAATTTCAGTGTTTACCTTTAACTTAATCACTTCCCTTCCTAAGGATGAGAGAAAAAAAAAAACATTGATGACTTAACATTTCTATTGAAAGTTGTCAATTCTTAACAGGGTGATCTTGACATAAGTACTGTGCATAATACTTGAATATTTAACATTTCCTCTTTGATTTTCCTTCCAAGCAGTCTGACTTTATTTTTTTTTTTAAATCTCCTTTAAGCATACATCATAAGCTGCATCAAATGTTATTAAGTATTTTACTGGGACCTGTAGCAAATGTCCTGGAGCAAGTGCTCCTGTGAAGTAAGTCTGGTGTAAGGTCTGTGCTCTGCACTGCAATTAGGATCCATATTTAGATGTCTCTATAGTGTCTCAACCCCATTTTGTCAAAAGGCTGGTATAAATTGATTAGGATATACCTTTAATGAGAGCAGGGCCACTGTTTAGATAGATGTTTATTACTATTATTTTAGGTGTGTGAAACCAAATGGTTCTAAAAGCAAAAAAACAACACACCCAATAATCCAGGTAAATGTAAATTTAATTTAGATAAAACAATCTTTGATTAAAGTCAGCTGTTCTCATTTCTTTTCATTGCAGGGATATTTTAATCATCTGGGGAATCATAACAATCGTGGTTGGAGCGTTCATCTTTGGACAGAGTACCACCATCGCTGTAATGGAGATTTTCCACAAGTTCTGAGCTTAATAGTTCTGTTCTTCTGTAGAGCCCCCCCAATTCTGTACAACTGAACTCTGAATTTGTATTGCAGAATTTTAATTGTAAATATAAATAATGTATTTTGTCTTGAGCATAGCTAAAAAAAAAAAAAAAAAAAATGTCAATAGGATTGCTCACTCTGTGTGATTAGAAAATCTGTTTTTGGAATGCTTTTTGCAGAAGATGTTTTTGTAATAAGTCTGTATATATATATTTATGATGGTTTAGTGTATTTGCAACATAGGTGTTAGAATTATTCTTTGAGATGCCTGCCAGGGGGCGGTATTGCATCATTTATGAATGACTAAACAGTTTTTTTTGTGTGTTTTTTTTTTGGGATTTGACATGTTGTGGTATGATGCTGTTTTTAAATAGAAAAAAAAAAACAATGAAGTGAATGTTTTTTGTCACATCACTAATTTCTACATTTATGTATTCTCCATTTTTCAACCATGAATCACAACAGTGGTATAAATCTGAAGCGGAGGTGGGCAGAAATCAGCTGGTTAGTATTCATCAACTTCAAGCTTCAATAACTCTTGGGTCACAGCTTGCAAGCATGCAAATGTGAATAGCTTTACAATGGATATATCACCTGCATGGGTCAGTCTGGAATCAGAGGTGTGCTATTTGTAGCCAAATAATCAGAAATGCAAGAACCACATACTTTTCTTTACTAGAGGAGATACTAATAATGGAGTTTAAGCATGGAAATGCCAAGCAGCTTTATAGATTTTTCTGTTATGTAATAGATGTTTTCATCTAGTGTAGAACTACTTTGAGGGACAACCTGCGATACTGTGGCTGTGTTTATTCCTCGGGATTATAGTTTGACCTGGCCAAATGCCTAAATCCATGAAATGCAGGAGGGAAAATACATGAAAACAACACAAAGCCCTTCATAAAGTCTGCAGCTTGTTTCTTTGTGAATCAGCCTGCTGGCTTTATAAAGGAGATGGGGTTTTAATTTGTATACAGCTTTCCAACGATTAACACCACTGCTGTCTGAACAGCCAGGAAAAATAAGGTTATACTTAACATTTTTAGGTTTCCAGGCATTATTCAGTATAAATATGTTGGCATGATGACACAGCTGTTAAAATAAGAGATTATTTTCTCAGCTTCTTGGTCATAAAGCAAAACTAATTTATTTAACCCCATGCTTTAAATGGCTCATGCCAACTTAGATGACTGTAGGCACAGTTTTAATCCAATTGGAGCTTTTTGATTAAGTTTTGAGATGTATATTGTTGTTGGTTCAGTAATGATTTTGTTCACTGAGTGGCCAAGTTCCTGTGTCATGTTTGCATTCATGGATTTCACATAGACAAAAAAATATACTTGCCGTAGGACCTTCACTAACATCTGGTTTTATATCCTGAACTGTGTTGGTAGCAATTGGTAAGCCTCTGGCATAACTCTGCCTGGGCATTTGACCACTCTTCTTCTTGCTCGTTTAAACAGTGGTGCAAAATGAAAGGCCCAAACTCTCCCTAGGGTTTCATAGGGCTGGATAAAACTAAAAGAGTGAAACTTACAACAAAGCTGAACTTCTAGATTCTGTGTGGATCATCAAAATAAGTGGTCCTCCTAATTGTCAATCATTCTGGAGATATGTTTACATAAGGTCGTCCTCCTTGCTCATCCCCATTTTCACTTACCAGTGGTGAGTCTGATATAGTGGAAAAATTACAAATCTTCTTTTTGAAAGTAGGCTTGTATGAGCGATGCAAACAGCAACTTTTAATCAGAGTGTGCACCAGGATAAATGGGCTTGTGCATGCTCTTGCATCCATTTAAGAGGCGTTACCTCTCTTGAGCGGGTTCAGGGTTGTAAATGTGCCTTTCTTTTAAAGTGGAGAGGGTGGGCCTTTGGAGAAATTCTCAAAAATTTTCCACTATCCTTTTACTATAACTGTTTTAGACACTGCATGCTGCTTGATCGATTTTTATACAGGTTAATTAGTTCAATGGTATCTGGCTGCCTTTTAAACGTCAAATTGCTTCTGATAAGAGCCTTAGCCAAAGACCAGAAGGGAAATAGATGATGTCCATTAAATTCCTGCATTTGACTCTCACGCAATGATGTTAATCCTCAGGCCTTTTGATTTTTTAAATAAATTATATATATATAAAAAAAACATTTGGCAGATAAGTATCAATTACTTGAATCTAGAACAGGAACACTGAGTGTATTAATGCAGTGATTCCATGTAGGTTTCTGTATGATCTTTGTTTTCTCTACATTGAGGTGATGTACCTAAATCCTTCCATAGCTTTATTCAGCTCCCATTCCTTTATTGGACTGGTGTCCTTAAATCTCTGACCTTTGGGCCAACCTCTGAGAGATAATTCAGTTAGCGGTAGCAGGAGTCTACTCTCAGCCAATGTGCACAACAGATTAGTATGATCTTTCATGCTGTCTAATCTGCTTCACAAGTAATCATCTGCAGCTATCATCCTAAAGTCTGTGAATCTGTTGGCTGGGGTTTGTTGTAAGGTCTTTTTTACAGAGATACTGGAGGGAAAAATATGTGAGACTGATTTTTTTTGCCATTTGTTTTCGACAAATAGGTTTAATAGAAACTGTAATGCCAACATCAAGTAGGAGACAACGACCACAACGTTCATTACATAGTTTGTGCATGGTTTAGCATGTCTAACCTAAAGTTTTTCATAAACCAGGTATGTTTGTTAGTAATATCGTTATATTGCATTAAAACTCCAACAGAAATGGGTCAAGTTAGCGAAATTATGAAGAGCAATGGTTGCTCAGGAGATGTCCTGTCACAGGAAAGTTGCCAGTTCAAGCCCCCGTTCTCTCTCTCTTGCCTTTTGTTGGTATCAGAGTACTGTTGCTTCATTTATTAATTAAATGCTCAAATCAATTAAATTAAATTCAGTTCAGTTTATTTTTATAGCACCAATTCATAACACATCATCTCAAGGCACTTTACAATTCAACCTGATCATACAGTCAAATTGATTCAATGTTTTTAACCAGCTGATTGCATCGACTCATTGACTAGAAGTTAATCCCTCACACTAAGCAGTGGAGAGGAAAAACTGCCTTTTAACAGGAAGAAACCTCCAGCAGAACCAGACTCTGTGTGAGTGGCCATATGCCGAGGCCGAACGGTTCAAGGAGGCAGAAGCAGACATACAGTAAAAAGCAGAGATACAAAAGGCAACTGTAAACCAGCTCTACAGGCAGCCGGTCCAGGAACCACAGCCAGGCAGACGAGCTCCGAGCCAGCTCTCATGTCAGAGGATGAAGAGAGCACATCTAGCAAGTCAGTCAGAGAAACAGGACTACACTGAAAAACAGGCTGATCTCGAACATCTTTGAACAAAGGTTTTGATGGCAGCAGCACAGGTGATATTTCTCTCCAGGATGGCGTCACAGCCAAACAGGAACAGACGAGGCAAAGCTTCTATGAGGAAAAGCAGAGAGCAGAACGTTAGAGATTGAACTATGGTAATAGATTCTGCAGAGTGGGAGAATAGAGATAGAATGAAACAGAATGATGAAATAGGGGTCCCTATGTCCTCCAGCAGTCTAAGCCTATAGCAGCATAACTATAGAGATCTCAGGATAACCTGAGCCACTCTAACTATAAGCTTTATCAAAAAGGAAAGTTTTAAGCCTAAACTTAAAAGTAGACAGGGTGTCTGCCTACAAGTGGTAGTTGGTTCCACAGGAGAGGAGTCTGATAACTAAAAGATCTGCCTCCCATTCTACCTTTAGAAATTCTAGGAACCACTAGTAAACCTGCAGATTGAGAGCGAAGTGCTCTGTTAGGAACAATCATATCTCTGATATAAGATGGAGCTTGACCATTTAAGGCTTTATATGTGAGCGTCTGGGCCTCAGAGGGCGGCGCCGCTTCTGGGAAGCAACACA